TTTCAGTTTGATGATGAGGGGCAGTACTGAAATAATTTAATGGTTGTTTCTATTGATTTTTAACACTTCCATGTATATTCTAGGAAACTGAAATAATAATCTTCTGGTGTAGTTAATTTTTTTAATTTTGGGTGTCCTAACTTGTGGTGTTCTTAAAACACAGGTATACAGGGAGAGTGATAAAGGACATTATTAATATGGGTTCCTACAACTACCTTGGATTTGCACAGAAGACTGGGCCTTGCCAAGAAGCAGCAGCTAAAGTTCTGTCTCAGTATGGAGCTGGGGTGTGCAGCACTAGGCAGGAGATGGGTAAGTTGGAGCAAGATACGATGTTCCCCGAACGTATGTTTCAAAGTCTGTAACTGTCCCTTATAGGCCTTTAAATAAAGAGCAGCCTGGTTGGTGGAAATTCTTCTTGTAGAAGATAGTAATGGTGAAAGCTGCTCTTCACTCTGAATTTCTCATTTGTTTTATGTGCAGGAAACTTGGACAAACATGAGGAGCTGGAAAAGCTAGTTGCTAGGTTCCTAGGTGTGGAATCTGCAATGGCATATGGAATGGGGTTTGCAACCAACTCTATGAACATCCCTGCTTTAGTGCGCAAGGTATGGCTTAAGTCACTGACAAAAGCTCATCTAACAGATTCTGCTGGTTGGGTTTTCTACATGCTACTTGTTTAGTTTTGTTCTTCAGTAGTAACCCTTGCAGATGTTCTTTACGGAAACAGTTCCCTGTAGGTCACAGTATGCATCTCTAACCTTTGCAAAAATCTTGGGAAACAGCATCCACGGGACCAGCAGCAGTCCAGATCTTGCCCTCTTTCTGTGAGAGAGCCTAGCATGTTAAGGCTTGCTTCTTCAGGCTACTCATGAGTGTATGAAATGGTGGCTGAATAACAGGCTGATTGGCTGAAGGTATTTTGATGCTCTTGAGACACTAAGAAGTGACTGTCAGTGAGACACACAGATAAGCTGAATTGCATGTTGGTACATACAGAATTTGTTTATCTTTGAGTGACAGCTGAAAAACCCTTCCTTTGAAGGAGCAAAATCCTAGTAGAAATGCTATTTGAGAGAAACAAGGTGAAATGTAAAGACTGATGTCTACTGTTGTGTCCCATAAAACGGTACATGATGCAGCCTGAGCATTTTCCATCTCATAATATGGGGTTTTATTTAGGTATTTGAAAATGAAATGGAAGAGAGCTCTTTGTTTGCATCTTCTGATGCAAAATGTATGTTCTACGTAGAGTAAAAAAGTGCAAGTACTGGAACTGTTCCCTCTTTTTGAAAATTATTAACTGTTACCTTAATACTACTAGCCTATTGGAATTCTTTGTCCCTCTGTAGTGAATTATTTTTCCTTTATTTATTTTTCCACTTCCTGAGATAATTTTGTAAATTCTTCCACTTGTGGTATCTACAGTTTATAAAATTACTGCCTTGTTCTTCCAGGCAACTTTTCCCCTTGCTGAATCTCTTCTTGACTAGCTGTAGTGTCTTCCCGCATGCTATTTTATTTGTAACAATGAAGCAGCACTGGCTACATAATGCCTCTTTTCTTTTGGTCTGTTAAGTTTTAAATATCAGATGCTTTCCATAATCAAAGATGTTTTTTCAGTCCTATGCCACAGAGAAATTCAGTGCTTCAAATCTAGTCTTTCTGGCGTCAAATACTTCTGCAGTGCTATGATTTTGAACAACATATTTTAGTCCTGACAGGTCTTTTACTTGCATTTTTCTGCTCTTTGTCTTCCTATGTCTCCCCAATTTTCCTCTTCAACAGAAAAATGATTCATGATTTATGCAAGACCTTTTGGATTCAGAACACACACGCTCAGATACATTTAAGTAAAGTTCTGTCTGTTCTAAGTCAGTACAAATTGCCCATTACTGCAAAGTTACTCCATCTTTTTTCTATGTATGTGGATCCTACTGTGTATCTTTAATACCTTATGAGAATACCCTTGAGACACCTTACTCAGCTCCTTAGTTTCTACATTTGAACTTCTAATAGTTTATACAAAAATTGAGAGAATCTGAACAGTAAATTCCAAGGCATGTAACATACCTGTTTTCATGCATGTAACTTGCACATTTACTAAACCAACTCTTTTCATAAATGGATACAGCATTCTGTTCTGTGTTAGTAATAAGCATACTTTGGTTTTGTGCACTTTATGTAGAAGCTTCTGCCTCATAACGCTAGAAGTGCCCTTATATTCAGGTGAATACTCAAGACAGAAAATGCTCTCTTCTGAAGAAGAGAGTTCTGTCAAATGAACCATTTTGCAGTTCAGAATGTTCACTAAATGCTTTTTTTTTGGCTGCCTGAAGTTGCTTCTCACTGCACTTTTGATTTCTTCATTGTCTGCGAATAAGGACTCTCATAAATCCTGAATTCTGGCACCACCCAGCACACAACTGGCTGTGTGTGCACAGCCTGTTTCACAATGCTTTGACAGAGTCCTCAGTAAAGCCCAGAGACTCCTGTGCTTGATTAAACTCTTGGGTGCACTGTTTTTTGTTGGTTTGGTTTTGTTGGTTTTTCTGGTTTTTGTTTTTGTTTTTTTTTTTTTTTAAAACTGCTGTTTGTGTCTTTCTGCATGTCCTGCATACATTTTCAGGTGCAAAGCTGCTTGGAACATGAATTTTTTGAGGTTGGGCAAATATAATCAGGAATGGCATCTGCATCTGGCCAGAAGGAGTTTCTTTGACAGTCACTGATGTGATTTGAAGCTCATTATTTACATAGTATCTGGTCGCCTACATTGCAACTTAATTAGCTTAAACCACAGACCACTGCAGTAAAGTTACTCACATATATATAATACTGGACCACCTGTTCTGGTTTTGCTCTGTGGAATCCTTAAGCACTTGGTTTATGTTGCTCCTGAATCTTCTTAATAGCAACAAATATGACTTGACTGTCCTAGGATCCAACTCTACCCCATAATCTGATCAGCTTTGGTCAGCAAAAGGAATTCAAAAGCTTCATCAGCATTAGCTAGTTGATCTTTATTCACTATGCCTTGTAACAGCGGCTTCTACTAAGCAGATGCTGAAAACAGGTTTAATTGGTGTACACTGAAAGTTGTATTTCAGCACTGTTAAAGCATCACTGAAAACAGGTCTTTCTGCACCTGGCAGTTTTCAGCGGGAGAGCCCCGCTGTTGACAGCCAAGCTGTCGGCTACCTAATACAGTCCCTGCCAAGTATGCTGAGTCTAGACCGCAGATAATATGAAATTTGAGGATTACGTAGTCAGAAGTTGTTAGACCATTTGAGGCTAAGCTAGACTCTGAAACTTGCCTGTTTTGGAGTGTCATTAATGTAGTTACTGTAACTAGCTAATAACAGCGTTCTGTACTGCCTTTAGCACAAAGCTTTTTCATCATAGCCCTGGAATGACAGATGCTAGATAAGGGAGTTAGAGCAACAGTGCTTTAAGGATCTTTTTTTGGTTGTAAGAAAACAAATTAATTCCCACGTATAGTTAGCTTGCAGAATTAAGCGCTCAGGACTGAATTACGCGGTTCCTGTATGCAGCGCTTTGTGGTAAAATGTGTCGTTCACTTCAGTTTCAGTGTCTGCCTTGCAGGATGCATTCGTAAGTCCGATCTTCACTGGCATGTTTTTCTTGATACCAGTAGCATAATCTTCAATTAGGGTTAGTCTTCTCCTGGATACTCTTTCAAATGTAAGTTTTCTGATAAATGCAACTGAAGTCTTATCATTGTAGTAGCAGCACCCAGTTTTCCGTATGATCATCAGTGGTCACTGTACTGTACCAGTGGCTTCTTTGATCCTTTGTCCTCTCTCTAGTGGCAGACAGTAGTAGACTCTTCAGTTTTCAATTAACTTATTTTGTCTAATTGAATGCCCTCTTCCTTTACAGGGGCATGAAAAGAGGCTGCTCATCAATTTGTTAAATCTTGTTTCTATACCAAAAGCTCGTACTTGTTTTTATGGAGAAGCTCCTTCTAGACTATTAATCTCTTCTTTCTTTTTTTTTTAATCTATCACTCTTCCTACTTCATACCAGTTAAGGATACTAGCACTGGATTATTATTTTCAGTTTTTGATAAACTAGTGTTTGACATCAGTACACTCTGACATGGTATACGTACTCCTTGTCTGGTATAGTAGTTCCAAAGAGCAAACGCTACTTGGAGATTTCCGTGCTTCTTACACCAGTGTCTCTGAAATGTGCAGCGTGAATCCTTGTAACAGCAGTTTGAACACTTGATATTTTGGAGGTTTTGGGGAAAACCAGTCTTGAGCTTTCCCAGGATTTAGAATATTTCTGGGTACGTTGCAATTCTAGTGCAAAATTTCCTTTGTTGTGGAGAAAATACTCCTATTGTTTGTGACACCTCCTTGTATAACTGTTGGCAATGCTCTTCATCATCCCTTCTAGTAACTCTCATTGCAGAGAAGAAATGTTCTTGACTCTGCCCTCTACCAACTGTTAATAGAGAAGCATAGAATGTGCATGTGTTTAGCATCAAATCTTCAGCATATTGACACGCTTTCTGGATTTTTAACATAACAAAGTTACTTCTAGAGTTGCAGCAGATTTGCATAGTAATTGGAGTGGGCCAAGGTTATTTAGGAATATTATTGCTCTCTTACAAACTAATCCCCCAATATGCATTGCTGTAATTCACAGTGATAACACTGGAATGAACATTCAGCATATCAGCTATTTACCTGTAATCATTGCTGCTCTCAAAACAGATGTATCCTGTTTTGATATTTGTCCAAGGATATATCTTTTCTGAAAAAGCAAACAAATTCAATGTAATGGTTAATGGCTTTAGAAAACTTCTCAATTTCACTCTGCAATTTTATTTTCTGCTTCCTGTCTTTTGTATGTTACCTCCATCTATGAAGTACTTAATAGTTCTATTCATTAAAGAAAATTAGTCCCTTTGGTATCACTGAGCACACACAGGTTTAGTCGGTGGTTACCTCTTAAAGTAAGAAATAGTGCAACTTTGATAAGGTCTTTAATCTAGGACTTTGGCCCGTTTCCTAGCTCCACTGTAGACTTGCTGAGTGAACTGCAGCAAGCTGCTCTGCTCTCTGTTTTACCTGGCTGCATAGGAGGATGAGTACTGACCAAATGGATTGGACAGGAGAGGTGCCTGAGGACTGGAGGGTAGCCAATGTCATTCCAGCCTTCAAAAAGGACAAGAAGGAGGACCCAGGGAACTGCAGGCCAGTTAGTCTCACCTCCATCCCTGGAAAGGTTATGGAACAACTCATTCTGGGTGTCATCTCCAAGCAAGTGGAGGAAAAGAAGGTGATCAGGAGTACCCAGCATGGATTCACCAAGGGGAAATAATGCCTGACCAATCTGATAGCCTTCTATCATGGCATGACCGGCTGGGTAGATGAGGGGAGAGCAGTGGATGTCGTCTACCTTGACTTCAGCAAGGCTTTTGACACTGTCTCCCATAACATCTCATAGGGAAGCTCAGGAAGTATGGGTTTGATGAGTGGACAGTGAGGTGGATTGGGAACTCCCTGAATGACAGGGCTCAGAGGGTTCTGATCGGTGGTGCAGAGTCTAGTTGAAGGCCAGTAGCTAGTGGAGTTCCCCAGGGCTCAGTACTCAGCCAGGTCTTGTTCAACTTATTCATCAACGACCTGGATGAGGGGACAGAGTGTACCATCAGCAAGTTCGCTGATGACACAAAACTGGGAGGAGTGGCTGATACGCTGGAAGGCTGCGCTGCCATTCAGCGGGACCTGGACAGGCTGGAGAGTTGGGCAGAGAGGAAAAGGCCAATGGTATCCTGGGGTGCGTTAAGAGGAGTGTGGCCAGCAGGTCGAGGGAGGTTATCCTCCCCCTCTATTCTGCCCTGGTGAGACCCCACCTGGAGTACTGTGTCCAGTTCTGGGTGCCCCGGTTCAAGAAAGATGTGGAACTCCTAGTGCGAGTCCAGAGGAGGGCAACAAAGATGATTAGGGGACTGGAGCATCTCCCCTATGAGGAAAGGCTGAGAGAGTTGGGCTTGTTCAGCCTGAAGAAGAGAAGACTGAGAGGGGACCTCGTCAACACCTACAAATATGTTAAGGGTGGAAGTCATGAGGATGGAGCCAGATTCTTCTCAGTGGTGTCCAGAAACAGGACAAGGGGCAGTGGGCACAAACTGAAGCATAAGAGGTTTCAGTTGAATATGAGGAAAAACTTCTTTACTTTGAGGATGACAGAGCACTGGAACAGGCTGCCCAGGGGTGTTGTGGAATCTCCTTCTCTGGAGAAATTCAAAGCCTGCCTGGATGATGTCCTGTGCAACCTGCTCTAGGAGAGCCTGCTTTAGCAGGGGGGTTGGACTAGATCATCTCCCGAGGTCCCTTCCAACCCTTGCCATTCTGTGATTCTGTGATCACTGTGAGATATTCAGGCAGATTCAGCTGCAGGACTTCTGGGAAAAGTGAAACTTAAGTGGTTCTTTCAGTTAACAGCAGTTGTGTATTTTTATTTGCCATACTAAGGCTGCAAATTGTTTCTTGGCAAGTCTTGCCTGGACTAGCTGCATTTATGTTGGAAATATATTTTTATTTTTTTTCTTAAATGATCTCTAAACAGTTCAGAGCTGAAAGGCATTATATGCTTGGCTGTAAAACATAACCTTATTCAATATCTTCCTTTTTCCCCTTCTAATTTAGGGCTGTCTGATTTTGAGTGATGAACTGAATCATGCATCGCTAGTGCTCGGAGCAAGACTGTCAGGAGCAACTATTCGAATCTTTAAGCACAACAGTAAGTATCAGATGGTGGACTCCGCCTTTCTGCAGATGCTATAGATCAGATACAATCTCTTCTATCTTCTAATAGTTGGAAATCCAATTTCATGCAAGGAAATCAATTGCTGGTTACCTGAAAGGTCAAAAGACTGCTGCTACTGAGAATTTAATCGTCCTGAATTGGATATTTTTTGATATGTTCAGTCTTAACTAATAATGCTTTTATCCTGAAGTTGTTCTGGCTTACATCTTCTGCATATGAAGAGGAGCGTGCTGCCCTTTGGCAAGCCTAGGGGCACTAGTGTTTTAGCATTACTTGGATAGCCCAGCATGGTTAGACTATTCTAACAGTCCATGTCATGCAGTAATGCAGTCTTGTAGTGGTCTAGGTTACAGTTTGGGAGATAAGCAAGCTTCGTTTTAGGACCAGATGCCGACATGATCCTGTAGTAACAAAAGCATGCAGATGTCCTAGCTAAACTAAAGTACCATGCATTGGTACAATGTAGTACAAAAGAAATTTTTGGGATGTGAAGCATAGATTAATTTCACTGAGTTACTTGCTTTTAAGTACTTGTGTTTCCAAAACATAGAATTTTCACTTCTCTAGTTTCAGCTTCCTTCAAAGGAGGCATTTAGAATAACTTCAAGATTAAAAATACTTAGGGTTTCCTTCTCTTATTATCAGTGAAAGAGGTACCTGGTTGTCCTTGATTAGTAAAGCCACTACCTTCATTCTTCAGCTGATCCTAATACTCTTTATAGTATCAATCTTGGAGATCATCACAACTCTTGCTCACTTTGAAGTGTGTGGTGGTGACAGCAAAGCTTGGGTGGCTGTAATTATTTTCCTTGCTCTGTCCTACTTGGTAGTGGATTCTCTGCTGTGCTTATTGTTTCTTTTGTATTCTCTCTTTCTTGTTCTCTGTCATTTGAATAATTTTCTGTACAAAAGTGTAGAGTTTACTGTAACATCCAGTGATTTCTTTTTTTTTCCTTAATTCTTCATAAATCTCGATTGCTGGGCAAGATCACAAAAGCTTTGCATTCAACTTCTGCGTTTGTGTAGACATACTACTGAACACTGCACCCAGTTCCAGAATTTCAGAGAACACTGGTGACATACACAGTTCTGGGTTTGAGGATAAGGACTTAGAAGCTCTGGTGTGATGAGGAAGAATATATGATCTGTGGGAATGGGGTATGGACTAGCAATGGTAGGAATGGATGGGGTATGAACTAGCAATGGTGGGATTGGGGGATATTCTAGAAACCTTATAGATAGTGAGGGTCTATGAGGGAGAATGGAGTGGCAGATTAGAATCAGAAGGGAAAATGCAAGCAATGAACTTGGCCTGTCAAGATGATGTTCAATTCATAGTTATGTATGTGTTCTCAGTCCTTCTCTTGTTATACTCTATGCTGCCTTAGTTAACTTCATTTTCCTGAGATGTTAATGGTTTCATTCACATTCTGCTTTGTAGAAATTATGGGGGAAGAAAAAAAATAAAGAAAAAATCCCCTTTAAAAATCCTTGTTTCCATTTTTTTCCTACCTCATTCTGCAGTTTGTCCTTTTTATTAAAGTCAGACATAGTTCCCAGTCTTTCCCTCTTTCTTGAGAGATGAGAGCAGAAGTTTATATTCCATTGTTCTCCCTAACTGCACTAAGCTCATCCTATCTTCCTTGAGATTTGTTGGAGGCAGGGATTCCACTGCTGACTTCTTCATCTTTGTCTTTTTCTGAATGTTAGCTGCCTTTTAACAGTCTATTAACTGACCGATTTTGCTGTATCATTTCTAGTCTAGTTCTAGTTCACAAGCTCCTCTTGCTGCTACAACTGCCCTAGTCTACCAATCCTCTTTTCATGATCATTTGTGTTCTTTTTCATGCTCTAGTGTTCTTATCTGTCTCTTGCTCAGCACTTTAGCTTTTATGGTTTGATTACTCCCATCTCCACTCCTTTCATCAGTTTTCTTTTTTCAGGACTGATTTTACATGTATTTATTTGCTCATATTAGTCATGTCTCCTGGATCATGGCAAGTGTTCATAGCCAAAGCTGCTAAGGTTTCAGAACACATTGCTACTAACAACTTCATCTGTCTCGCTTCTGTTGTGCTGAGCACTGTCCTCTTTCCTACACTGATGGTTCCTTTTTCTTCCTTTTCTGTTTTTGGTTTAGTAGCTTCCTGTTCCACACCTCCAGTCCCCTCAGTTTTAAACAAAGTAATAAAAAAGTACATTTTCTCCCTTTCTTGTCCTGCACTTTGGTCTATCTTCTACTTATCTTTAGTTGATTATCCTGAGCTTGCTTGTTCTTTTTTTGAGTGATTTCTTTCCACAAGGACATGCTTACTACCTAAATTGCTTTCCCTTTTCCTCACAATGAGATAGCTTCCTTTTTTCCTTTTTTTTTTTCCTTCTTTCCTTGTTTGCTGTTTGTGTCTAATGCTCTAACTTGTGCTTTTAGCTTAGGATGATGAAATTCTTCCTCAGAACTCATACAGTTACCCATTCCCTTTAATCTCATCTGTGGGCCTGCAGCTAGATGAAGCCCATGCTTATTGACTTATGTACAGTCTGTCCTCCACACTGGAGCAATTTGTGTGTTTCTGGAGTATTGCTGTCTTAGTCATGTCAAAACTCAAGCTAGTAGCTGTTTTGGTACCATTTAACAGTAATTTCTGGTGCAGATATGCAAAGCCTGGAGAAGCTGCTCAAAGATGCTATTGTGCATGGGCAACCTCGTACACGGAGGCCCTGGAAAAAAATTCTTATCTTGGTGGAAGGAATATACAGGTACAAACTATTCTTTATATTCCTAAGACCCCTCCACATGAGATCTAGCTGCTTAGTATTTGGGTTCCTTTGCCAAATCAAACTATGAATATTGGCACTTCATAGTTTTTTCATTGGTCTCATCTGTGATTTAAATTGAACTATGTATGTCTCACATCCTGGATTTTCTGTTGCTAGTACTGTAGCTGCACCTGGTGTTATCACAGTGCTTCCCACATCCTGATAAAACTGTAGAGATTAATTAATCTAAACTGATTGTTTACATCCAAACTGAGGTCTTAAATTGCTTGTCCATTCCATTCTTTCTGTGCTCAGTAGGTGATGCTAGGGTGAATGGAATTGTGCAAATTGAATGTTTTTGCTGAGAGCGAGTCAGAGCACGTAGTAGGCTTAGCTGTGTTAGGCATTTAAATCATAGTGACTTTCAGCACAAAATGGGGTGTTTTGGAGTGCTACTAATGAGAGCCCAGTCAGTTCTTAAACTTGAAAACAACAGGTAAGTAGATGTCAGATCAGAATACATTAGGGATGGAAATAAAAAAAGGTAATTAATTTATAAAATTGTCACTGAACATATTCCTTTTCCTTAACTTGCTGCTGCTACTACTATTTAGTCCGTATGTCAGCATCTCAGATATGTTAAACAGGTAGAATGTAGAGATTTGTGCCCCAAGTGCAAGGAGGAGTTATCTTTCATCTCTCCGCAGAACACGATGTGTCTAGCAAATTTTCTGTGTTTGTAATTACTGAAAAAGTGAAGAAAAGAAAGCTTAGGGACTTTAGGCTCTGTAAGGAGGCCCCAACCATTAAATTAACTTACACTGAATTTCTCTTTCTCAACAGTATGGAGGGATCCATAGTCCGTTTGCCTGAAGTGATTGCCCTTAAGAAGAAGTACAAATCCTATCTGTACCTTGATGAGGCTCATAGTATAGGTGCCCTGGGTCCCAGTGGCCGGGGTGTAGTTGAGTATTTTGGACTCAATCCTGAAGACGTGGATGTTATGATGGGAACATTCACCAAAAGCTTTGGAGCTGCTGGAGGATACATTGGGGGCAAGAAGGTAAAAAGCTGGGAATCGCATGGCTGTTTCAGGCTGGTGGAGTCCTTCACTAAGCATTTCAAAGTTGATCTATTTCTCAAGTACCCTGATTGTCTATTTGTTTCATAATTGTATGTAATGTCTAGTACAGTGAAAGTCTGGGCAATGCAGAAGAGTCTAGTCCAGCAACTTACTGCAGAACTGTATAGTTCTCACATGGCCAGCAATTATCTCAGTTTGCAGAATGTACAGTAGCAGTGTAATATCTTTTTAGGAACTGCTAGAAGCCAGGAAGCAGGGATTTCTTAATGTTACTTTTGATGAGACTTGTAGGAAAAATGCCAAAAGCTGAAGTTTTTCAGCCTGTTTGGAGGAAAATCCCCTTCTTAGGTTAGTCTGGTAGAATTGATTCTCTCTGGACTCGGAACAGTTTGCTTTCTAAAAAGACACTTTTTCCTTTTTTGTGGGTGGTGGGGTTTTTTTTGGCTACAGACTCTCTTCTCTTGGAAAGTACTGCTAGAAAGTATTTCCCTTGCCAAACCCCTCCTTTTGAGAGGGGTGGTGTGGGCAGTTGTATGTGTCCGCTTTCTCATATCCTCAAATATAGCTCACGGCTCAGGCTTCTAAGCTTTATTTGAGAGTAAAATTCTACCGTTTTCCTACCAGGGCAATAATTTTTTAGATACTAATAATGACAGTTACTTCCGCCCATCCAAATAGAGATGGGAATTGTAGATGTTAATTCTGGAGAGTTTACTACAGTTGGATTAAAATTACTCTGACATCTTCCCCAGAAGAAAGCAGCATATTAATCTGTGTCCAAAGGTAGCAAGCTAGTGGGCAGACAGCAACATAAAATTGAACACTTCTGTGTATTTCTGTAATATGTTTCCAGCTTGCGCTATCTACAGGGCCATCATTATTAATTTTATGGTAGCAGAAAACAGAATCTGTGCTGGCATTCATACTGGTCTCTCTAATATTTTGCTGGAGTGGTCTGGGTATTTTAGAATGGTTTTGTTAGAGTTAACTACAAGCAGCCTGCATCTAAGTGTGTTGATCCTTTGTTCCTATATGACCTGGCTTTTGCCCTCTAACAAATGTAGCAGGTGTGTTTAACTGGGAGGGTAGGCTGAGGCTCTTGCACTCTTAAATTACACCTGCTGCTTTATTTATATTGTGCTGATAAATGGGAAAAATTATTTTGTGACCTATTTCCCTGTTTGGTGATGTTTGTGAGGAAACAGTTACACTGAGTGTGATACATAAGCACTTATAGATCCTGCTCCCAGCTATTTCATTTGCTTTATACTACCACTGTTATAGGAAAGACTTCTGAAACACAGCCTGTGCACAGCTTGAGTAATGCAAACACCTTGTAGCAATTCAATGCTGGTGGTGTTAAACAAGTCTGTTGTAGGCATTTGTCTTTGATCAACACACATTCTTGTCCTGTGACATGACTCTGAGTTGTCATGTCCCTGCTGTTTGCTTTTCAGTTGTTTATTACTTGTACTGTAAAGTCAATCCTTGATACACCTGTAATCTTCCAGAACATTCTGAAAGGTTTCTTGTGGTGGCCTGTTTTATTGTGTCATTAAGACACAACAATAAAGCATTTCTCGGAGCGCTGGGAAGGCAATGTCCGATGCCTCTTATGTTTTGCCAGGAACTGATTGATTACCTCAGGACATACTCTCACAGTGCTGTGTATGCGACATCAATGTCACCTCCTGTTGTGGAGCAAATCATCACCTCCATGAAGTGCATTATGGGTGAAGATGGTACAAGTGTTGGTGAGTCTTTCTAACAGTAAGCATGTGGAAGGGGGAAGCCAAACAGAGCCTCTTTATCGCTTTGACAGATAACTCATTCAGTGGACACATTTATAATTATCTGTTAGTGCATATAGACTTGGAATTTCTGGAGCAATAAAACAATTTAGTGTCCTACTTGGCAGATCAGCCTAATAACAGCATAAGGAATTTCCAGCCAGAGGTAAGTCATTTTAGTCTTATCTAAGTCACAGTATTGTCTTGTATTGATTTTTGTTCTTTTTAGCTTTTCTAGCCTCCTTCTTTTTCTTCCCCATTGTCTGTTCTTTGTTATTTGCCCTACTTTTTAGATTGCTTTCAGAGTATTTTGCTCTGTATCTTTTACAGTCTTGTGTGCTGGCTAATGCGGGGGCAATGCTTTTGATTTTTCATCTCTAGTATAATTTGATGCTTGCACCTCAGTTAAAGTAAATACAGGAATGCTTCTGAAATTCCTTTTTACTTGGGGAGCTAGAGGCAGCTTTCGAGATCAGTAGTCTTAATGCACCAGGAGAAGAAATTCAGCATATTCGTCTTTATTCTCTTAGTTTTCTAAGAAAGTAAGAAAGGGGAAATCTGTACTAGTCTCGATGCATTCACAGTCAAAACCATGAATTCTCATGTCTCACTTGCCTAGTAGGTGGCAGCTTCCTTCAGTTACAGCATGAAGTAAATAGCTTGCAATCGTGATGTGTAAGCTGCCTTGAAACTGAAATGGTACAGCACTTTGCATGTGGGATACTTTCCTCTCTTCGCAGGTAGTTAGAGAGTTGTGAGCAGCTCACACGGGCTGACAGTGTAGTTTGAGGATCTGTCAGTGGTGTTCAGTTCAGAGGCTCTTTGAATATATTCTGCAGTTTGAATTCTGTTACAGGAGTTTCAGGCATCTGGCCACGAGGTGGTGGTGTATACTGAAGAACTGTATTTGCTTTTGAACATGGGTCATCTGACCAACTAACCTGATGGATAACTCCTAGAGTGAAGAAGCTTGCTGGAGAAATGACTTAAGAATTTTTCCGTTATAACAGGTTTCATTCAGTTTGCTTACATTATTTGAGAACAGAGTTAAGTGCCGGCAATTGGTGTTGGTGGTTGCTCAATAGAGACATCCTCACTGAGGCAAGTGCAGCCAGGAAGCAGCCTGTATCTGTGCTAGCATTGAGTGTTTCCAAGTGGTCCATGTGAGATACCTGTACAAGCCAAGAGTTCTCCCCAGTGCTGCTCTCAAACAGATATTAACCAAGCTTCAAACTACCTGAAAAGTTGTACAAAAGGACTGGGTCTTGCCGTTGTCGTAAAAGTGACTGCTTGAGCCCTTTCTAGCTGATGATTTGCCAGCAGTCTGTGGTCTGGTCAGGCGTTGCTTGTTTTGGGTTTCTTCCAGTATCTGTTTTGCTTAATGAAGTGGGAAGCAAGGAATGTGTAACTGATTTCTGTTTGCCGTATTCAAACTAAGGCATTTTTGCCCCTTTCTGAGGCTACAGTGTAGTATTTGTTCAACCCAGGAGAACGGAACCAACTTCCACTCCGGACTGTTCTCCTGCCGTTATGCCAGCAAGATCCATCAGAGCTGAAAGGTGAACCAGATCAGGAACCAATTTGACAAAAAAAAGAAAACAAACTCAAAAGGCCTTTATTGTTGTCATGTTGCTTAAGATGCATGTCAGGTTACATCCTGATAATTTGGTGCTATGGAGTACCAGAATTCCTAGCCGCTCTTTCTATGGAGAAAATAAGTAGTTTTGGTGTTTGAAAGCTGTGTCATTTCAAAGAAGCCTCTGTACATCCAATTTCTATATGAACTGTAATGCTTTTTGGATAGCCAAAGTCCTGTCCACTCATACTCAGAAAGGATTTCTCAGCTACATGTCTCGTGAAAGTGTTATTGGCTTTCTAAGCATCTAAGTCAACCTTCAGCTAGGATAAACACCTCGCAGGATGATCCTTGCATCAAAGTGCTCCTCTGTTCATTTTCTGCACAGTGCTGTTTCCCAGTCATGCATTTGTTTTAATTGCCTCAAGGCTTTAGAGATAATATTACTTTGTAGGCATTTTCTGTGGATGAAGTTGGCAAAAGTTCAATTGGGTGAATTGAGCAGCTGGTTAGTGATAGCATGACAAAGTTTTTGCCTTGTTTAAGGGCTTTGGCTGAAAAACTTCTGTTTGGATTCTGTGGAATTACGGGTGGGGCTCTGGAGGGCCACTGCCTGCAGTTGGTTTGACTACAAGTAAATGTGGAGTAGAATGGTGCTGGTAAGAGTTGTCAACTGTGGAAAAAAATAGAAAAATAGTGTAAAACTGGGTTACTAGTAAGTACCTCTGAATCAACTGTGTATTACCAAAATTTCACTGCTTTTAAATTAGTCAAGCTGAACCAATGGATGAAGGAAAACTGAGATAGGGCAATGGATTTACAAGGGCACAGGAGTTAGAGCTGGAATCAGAATAGTAGATGACTAGATCTCAACCCCATTTTTTGGGCCACAGCTAAATCTTTTAATGGCTTCAAGAATGCTTTCTTGAAAAGAGCCTTTGCGACTACTTTGTCTGCCTGCTCTGTTCACCACACACTACTTGTAAAAGCTGCTGTCCTCCATGGCATCAAACCTTTGTGGAAACTGTGGTGTTAGATTGAGGTGGTCTGTAGCTGAGGAGTAAGTAGTAGGAAGCAATTAGGTTTTGAGGACAAAAGGATTTTTTGTGTATTATTTTGCAAGAATAAGTTAATTCTCTCCTCTTAGACGTCAGGTTATTTCTAAATCTACTGAAACATCTGGAGGCTCTAAGCTTACAATATAAGGCGTTGTAGTTATTAAAACTTCACATAACTAAAAAAAGTAAGTATCAGATCTTTCCAGCAAACTGCCAGTGACTAAATAGGATATTAGCAGGAGGCAGCACAGACAAAATACAGATGCTATGAAAAGTTGAATGGCTGCTTATAGGGAACATAAGATGGATGGCATGCAAATGTGTTGTCTGAATTGGAACAGTAGTTTGTTGTGCCTTGATTTCTGTTCAAACTAATCTGTTAATTCTCTGTACTGTTTATGCATGTACGTGACTAGGAAGGCTGAATCTCTCTGAAGACAGTTATGGAAATATAATTATATATAAGTACAAGTATGTTACTTGCTCCTTCATCCAGACTGCAGAAAACACTCCAACAGCCAAAGCGATAGCAGAGCCATGTTAGGGGTTCTTGGTAGAGGTGCTTCCAGTACTACTTCTGAAACTCCTCTACATTATAAGCTCAGTTCTGTATGTCTGTCCTGTTCTACTTTGCATTACTTGTCTTGCACATAATTGGCCAAAAGACCATCATGTGGACTTAAACAAAACATACTTGATTTGTGATCATTTTGAGAGTTTCTTCAAAAGAGCGCTCATCTCATTTTGAGAGTGTAGAATGTCGTCAGAGAATTCCAGTGACAATGTACATGGGTATCTCACATATCATCACATTTGGGTTTGATATACCGTAGAGCAAGGTGAGTAGGACAGATGGAGAAGGCTTCTTCCTGCAAAAGGAAATTTTTGGAGCTGGTTTTCCAATTCAGAGTCGCTATGGTTGAAATCATTAATGAGCATGTGTTGCAGATGCTTGCCAGCAGTTCGGTGGACACTGCTTTTTCTCTCTGTTCAGCCACAAAGATGAATGAAATTCAGATAGTTTTGTAGATAAAGGGGCTTTTTTAAACAATAATATTAAAAAGACACAGTAAGCAGACTTTTTGGGGTCATAGTATACCCAAAGATGACAAATTGATTCCTGCAATGGAATTCTGGAAACTTCTAGTATAAAGCCACTTGATTCTTGCTGTTCATGTGATGTTTGGGTTATTTAAA